GAGTTATACCAAAATCAATTATATTACAAAAGTTGGTAAATTGAATTAACGTGTTGAGCTTTGCAATGTCACCTAGTAAATTAATTCAATATCGTGATCAAAATGCAACGATCAAATATTGGTCCTTCAAATCGGAGTAGTTTTGTTGTCTTCTTTTTGTTTTTTTTTCCCTTCTTACAAGAAACCAAAAAATCGTATCCTACTTATTCGTGATCAACACTTCAAACTGCTCAGCTTTATATAAAGAAAATGATGATTTACATTTCCCTTTATTTTAAAAAAAGGGGTTAATTTTTTTAATGGATCTTCTTAAACATTAAGGTAATATTAAATGTATATTCTAAATTTTCTTAAAAAATCACAAAAAAAGTTTTTGAAATTTTGAAATATACACTACCCTTCCTAAAAAAAATTAGAGATGCTTAGATTTACAAAACATATTCATGAAAAGAAAAACTAAATATTGAGATTAATAAATCATATTTCAAATTCTAAAATTGAAACTATGATATTTTATGATATGTATTTATATAACTATATCCCCTAATCTGAGTCGTGTCTGGATTCTTTGTATCTATTACAATATATTTTCTATGACATTTTCATGATGAGTCCGGAATTGAGGAAAGTGGCAAGTCACAAATAGCTATTTTGTCTTAATCTTTCACTTTGCCAAAAATGAATATAGGGATAGTGTACTTTATTTGAGATAGAAACTCCTCCTTATCAATTTGATGTTTCTCTTAATATCTATATATTGTTTTTTTTAAATAAAAATGCAAGGCATGGATTTAATATAATGTGGAATTTTAATTCCCATGCCATCAACAAATCAAAATCTTCACTGTACTATATTTTGATTTATAACCTACTTTAGATCACGTCATATGTACACATGGATAAATAATACTAGATCTAATCCCTAATATAATAATTAGTTAACTAATTTGGGTATATTACGAAAATTAGTTAAGTTAATTATTTATAATAAATATGTGTTATTTTTCTTGCTAACCAAATACTCTTCTGGTCCTTAATATAATACCTATTTAACTAATTTAATTAGATTAAGAAAGTTAGATAAGTTAGTTAATTATAAAAAATATGACATGTTTTTTTTAAAAAATACCAGAAATCATCTTCCTTAATATCCCATCTCCCTCTTTTATTTGATTATGATTGAGGAAGTATCTATAGGGGTAATTTAGAAAAAATTGATAAATATGAGAAATAAGTTTTATATTTAATATCAAAATCAACTTAATAATTAGGTCATATATTAAGGATCGAAGGAGTACATTAGCTAAAACTACTATTTGATAAAAATTTTAACACATACAACTACTACAAGGACTACCTTAAAAAAAAGGATAATATGAAAAACAAAGTCAAGTGAAATCCTATATTTAGAGCTAAATTAAATATTAAACTAATTCTTATATTAAAAATAGAATGTAATAATAATTAAAAGTATAGACATACATCACTTGCATGAATCTCATATACAAACCAGTCACTTGAAGTGTTGGAGCCATTTGGCTCAACTAGCACCTATCCTCTCTGTGGCAATTGAATAAGGTGTTTTGAAATTCCTATTGAATACTTTAAAAATAATTTTTAAATAATAATTTACGAAATACAAGATAAATATGTGGTGAGAGTTATTTCAGTTTATGTAAAATTGCTTATAAACACTTACCATAAGCAAGTAGAAACAAATCTTGAGAGGTTGCAAATTCAATCTTCACAAGTATCATAAGTGCATGAGTTGATTCCGATGGATCAAAGATGATTGAAGAGGGGGAAAAAAAGCAATCACTTGAAGTATGAGCTCAACCACTTATTTTTCCTTCATATTTTTTTTCCAAAATTTATATAAATAAAAATTATTTTTCCCCAGCACATCTCTTATGATTAGCTTGAACTTTTATCAATAACTTCATCATGTTTGGGTCAATTAAAATCACTTTTTTATTTTAAAAAAATTGACTCTAATTTTGGAAGTGACTAGGTGAGAAGCATACTCATTGCTTCATCTTTTCTGAATTTCACATGCTTTTTTTTTTTTAACCAGAACTGAATCCCACATGCTGTGCAATTGTTACTGGATTTTAATGTATGTCTGAACAAACATAACTCAATTGTTTCTTACTCCCTCCTATCTTCCTACAATAAATAAAAGCGCTCCCTCCTATCTTCCTACAATAAATAAAAGCATACCCCATCCAAGTGTATATATAAGAGAATCATTTTGAAATTACATGTTTAGATTTTTTAAGAGATATTAACAGACTAATTGAAACTTTTAGTATTATTTTTTATGTTTTTATCTTTACTCCATTTAATTATTAATTAGTTTCACTGTGTTAATTATTCACTAACCGTCTTCATAAATAAATTGATATTTTTTAAAGTGATTTAGGTATTGGTATACTTCATAACATTAACCTCAATCCGCAACTAGTGATGTGCAGATTTCTCTTCCACCAAAAATGGGAAAAAAACATATAATCTGTGTTTGATTTTAAGCTAACAACCTTTTTTTTTAAAAAAAAAAAAAAGGGGCAATGCATGTTGAAAATAGAATTTGGAAAAGCAAAAGGCAGGGAGGGATGAAGCAGACGGCAGAGGAAAAGGGAAATATTTAATAATTTTTGGACGGAAGGGGAAAAAGCGAATGCAGAGTTGGGTACGCGTAATATGCGTAAAGGCGTTATGATCGAAAAGACATACGACGATCGGGTGTGGCAAGCGGTGCGCTGCTTTTAAGGCACTACCCCAGTGGGCCCATCCTTTCTCGTGGGACCCACCTGCCGCCAGTCACGCCCTCCTCACGTGAACCCCAATCCCTCCCTCTTCTCCCGCACTTCATTACCCCCTTTCTCCATTCACACCGCACACAACACAAGACACCTTTTTCTCTCCGGTGCTCTTTTTTGTTTATAATTTTATTAGATTTGAATCATTTGATTTCAGTTTAAGGGCAAAAATCAAAATTAAAATTATTTAAAAATAAAATACAAGAATTGTTCATTGAACTCAAACAAAAAAATTATAAAACTATAAGGATCAAAAGTCAATGATTTAAAATTGCAAAAGCAACCCTTAAATTCAATCAAATTATAAAAATTAAAAATAGTATTAATCTTATATAATATATTTTATAAATGGTATTAGAATTCAACTCGCGTTGGTTTATCATACAAGTAAACCAATGGATCATTGCCATAAGTCCATAAGCAATTCGGTCTATAACTTTGGATGAGTTGAACACACTGGATTTTATATTTTTTAAATTAGACTAAAACAATGTCATTTTTCTGTTAAATTTGTGGTTTTAAGAATTTTATTTTGATAAATTATTTGTGATTATGCATAAATATTTCATTTACCTTATAAATTAATACTTGTTAATTATAATATTATTGATTTTAGATTTTTATATAAATTTTTTATATATTTTAATTTAATGTTACTATTTAAATTTTTTTTTGACCAGAGAATGTTACTATTTTAAATACAATTAGATTCATTAGCAAGTTGAATGAGTTTTGAACCACTTTTCTTGAATTTTATTTTCCCCTGCAACTTCAATGGATTCCGTTCAATGGTCTCCACACGCAACGCAAAAGGCAACATGGGGACCCACCCGCCGGCCCGCTCTTACCCCTACAAAATCTGATTCTTTTCTTATCAGGTGCGGTGCATGATTCTATTATATACCCAATCGCATCGGATAATATCTTCCTTCTTTGTTCATTCCTTAGAACAGCATGCCATCTGGTCAAACAAAAGAACAACATGCCGTTCCGTTTATATTCTCCCCGGATTCCTCCGTTTTGTTTGTTTCTGTTCCCACTCACTCGGAAAACGGACTACTAGCTCCGTTCTCTCAGCCCCTTCTCATTTTACAACATCCTAGAGTATTTCCTATATTATGGTCCATGTGATATAAGCAATTTAAAAATGTTTGACAATCAATAATATTAATTTTAGTAAATAAAAATTGTTGGTTAATAAATTAAACAATTTCAAATAATTTAATTCAATATAAATCTAAATATTTTTTTAAAATGTAATTGAACTGACATCTTGATTAAGCATGGCTCAGTTTGCAGAGTAGGAAAGTGAATCATCATCCACCTCAATCATACTTGTCATAAAATTTGTATGGCTAGATATGATTAAGAGTGATTCTAAAATAAGAAAAAAAACAAAATATAATGATTTCCTGAAACAAAAACCTATTTTTTTTAGTACTTTGATCCTGTCCCATTTAAAAAAAACACACAGAAGGCTACTTTAATCAAGAATTTTAACTAAAATATCTTTTATTATAAAAATGTCAAATAGAACTTCGTGTAGTAACTAACTTAATTTAAATTTAAATAAAAAATTAAATAATTTTTTCCTGAAAAAATTGAAGTGCATTATCACGTAATTTTTGATGAAATTATAAGTTTGTAGCATAATTTAGTAAAACAAATAAATATCGCATTAAGTGGAGGAGTGGGGAGCTCCTTAAAGTCGAGAAAAAAATTTAAAAAAAAGAAAGAGAGGAAAAAGCAGAAAAGCAGAAGAGGACAAAATCAAATGTTGCAAGCAAGCAAAAACCCATTAACCCAGCAGTTTGCAGCGCAAGGCAAGAACAACCGAACAATGGATTGGGTTTTTGCTTTTTCATTTCTTTTAATTTATTTTATTGTATGGAATAGTTGAACATACGATACGAGCATCTTTTTAGCCTTTTGGTCGTGAAATAAAGATTTATTGTTATCATCGCACATAATTTTTCACAGAAAGTGATTGGGTTTGCTTAATCCAGTGGATTTATAGTTTTTTGCTTTGTTCATTAATTAATTATTTAATTAATCTAATCTCACTGCTTATTGTTGACACCCGCCTTTTTCGTTTTCTTTTTCATCAATCTTCGTCACTGTGCGCACACCATGTGTGAATGTGTGACTCTCTTGCCTCCCTCCTTCTTCCTCCTCTTTCTCTCTCTGTTTCTATAAAAATCTCTGTAATCTCTCTCTTTAGTTACATATAGGACCTCTTAAACACAATGCTTCACAAGCTTTGAGGGTCACACTGTGCATGCTCTGCTTCTGTATTGGCATTTGTTTCCTCTCTCTCTCTCTCTCTCTGATTACCGGGTAATGAAAATGGCCGGGTGGCCTCTTTTGGGGTGAACGCTGAGTATTCCTGCAGCAATGAAGGTCTTCGTTTCATCATCTAATGGGGTTTCTTTATTTTTGGTCTCTGTACTCGTATTGCTTTCGGTGAGCTCGATTTCAGCCTTATCTTCAAGTGGGTCGATCAGGCATCCCGTCAAGTTTATCTTAGGTTCGTCTTGCAAGTTTCTGCAGTTTTGGTTATGGATTGATAACAATGTTCTCATTCCTGGTGAACTTGACTCTCGCTGGCTACGATAATGGGTTCGGCGTGGATCTTATTTCTCTCACTTGTTTGGTTGCTGGGAAGATGCAGGAAGGAGTTTTTGCCTCATTTTACCGTGAATTTTCCGAAATGGGATCATAATAAATGAATTAAACTTAAATATGCACTCTTTAATTTGTTGCTGGGTGTTTCTTTGGGGTCCCTGAAATGGAAACGCTGAGACCTTCCCTTTTGGCAGATTTTCTTGGCAACCAAACAAGGCAGATGCTTCTTTATTTGGAACCTTGTTTAATTGCGTCGTCTTGTAATTATTTTTTGGCTTATTTTGGCTCAAAATTTGGAGTAGAACTAGGATCCTCTAACTCAGACTAGCATCAGAGATCATCAGATTTTGTAATCTATTTGATCCTGCGTTGTTGTGTGTTTCAGGAGAAGAGAATTTGGGTCCATGGAAGAATGAAGTCGCACAAGCGGCACTAGCACCAGTGCCAGAATCACATTCACCTGAGGATACTCTTATATTGGCGGCAAACAGAACGAAAAGGCCTGATATTCTTCGAGGTTTCCGACGTTATCGCGATGGTTGGGACATTTCTAATAACCATTATTGGGCAGTAAGTACCACGAGCCTGGTGTTTATGTTAGGAAATGGATGCTTTATTCTTCTTTTGATGTCTTAATCTGTCCCCCCCCCCCCTGTTTTGAGCAACAATTTTCATTTTTTCTGTTTTCCTCAGCACCGAGGTTGCGTGCCTTAAGCTAACTCTCTTTCGTTTATTACTTTTCCGTTGTTCTTTTTGGCAGATCCGAAATGGTTTTTTGTAATGCTTACAGATTTGGAAGTATTAAATATCTCTCTGCATTATCATCTTACAGGATTTGAACCATTTTGTCCATTTCCTCTCTAATCCTGTTATCAGAGATGCCTTTTTGAATACTTATTTGCCTCTTTCGGTACTCCCATTTGCTTTAAAAAAAAAAAAAATGATAGAGACTAAGGTGACATCTTCGATGATGGGAAAATGGACAAGAATGGTTTAAATTCTGAAAGGTGATAGTTCAGGGGTTATTTTCTGGGCTTCCAAATTTGACAAATGTTTGCAAATCGATCAAAGTTAAAAGGGTTTATCTCCATTTTCTCCTAAATTTATTGCCTTCTTACCTTTTTAAGCAATTATTTTTGTTTTATATATTTGCACCCCTTGGAGAATCTAATTTCCAAGGCTATCTGTCGATCACGTAGCATTCTGCTTATTTATTTATTTTCAAGCAGATTCAGATTTTCTATGTTTCAAACAAGCCTTGCAATTCACTTATTCACTCAAATTAATATCCTTTTAACTGTTTTACATGCAGTCAGTTGGGTTCACTGGTGCTGCTGCTTTCATTCTTGCTGTCTTATGGTTTCTTTCATTTGGCTTGGCTCTTATAATTCATTTATGCTGCGGATGGGGAATTAACATCAAGGATGAAGGATCAAATCGTTCGCAGAGAATTTGTCTCATACTGCTTATATCATTCACCTGTGCTGCGGCGTAATACTCTTTATTTTAATGTTCCTTTGTTAACTTCTCAAATATTACGTTGTCTATGTTTCCCATCTTGGTCCTCTCATTGAATATTGACACCAAATTTTGTTAATATGCACTTGTATGCATCTGCTCTTGTGTCTTATAACCATCTGCTCTTATGTTATCTGTAAAACTTATTCAATATCTACTAATCTGCTAACAATTTGGTAGTCACAACATTTGCATGCTCTGAAATTCTGGGAATCAATTTGCAGCATATGATAAGCAAGATTTCTATGATGTCCTGTTTTAAAACCGATTTGTTGAATCTTTCCTGGTGTCTTTTGCTGATTTGTTCTGATCTCATATCATACAGGACTGGGTGTGTCGTCCTATCTGTTGGGCAGGATAAGTTCCATGATGAAGCCTTGCAAACCCTAGGTTACGTCGTCAACCAATCCGATTACACAGTGCAAACTCTGAGAAATGTCACAGAGTATCTCTCCCTTGCAAAGACTATAAATGTCGCTCAGATGCTTCTTCCATCTGACATCATGGATGATATTGACAATTTGAATATGGATCTAAATGCTGCAGCAAATACACTGTCTGAGAAGACAGATGAAAATTCTGTTAAAATCAAAAGAGTATTCAATAATATGTATGTTATTGTGAACTTGGCGGCACTCGGTATTTTAGTTTCTATAATTGAAAATCAATATTTGAAGTGCTAAACTTTGAATCCATCTTGTAGGCGCTCAGCTTTGATTGCAGTGGCAGCAGTGATGCTTGTCTTAGCTCTAATTGGCCTATGTATGTGTCCATTGTAGTAGCTTGAAAATTGAGCTGTCTGTTTTATATTTATATTCTTGAGGTCAGCTTTACAGCAGGCTAATCAATATATTTTCTGCAGGTTTGTCCATTCTTGGACATCAGCATGCAATTCTCATGTATGTTTTTTTGCCCACGGCCTGTTTATACCAGAACAATCCTAATCCTAATTATGCTCTCACTTCTCACATTTGGTTTTAAAATGTTGCAGTTTTGTTATTAGTGGGTGGCTATTAGTCGCAGTCACATTCATTCTTTGTGGAGTGTTCCTCATATTTAACAAGTAAGCCGCCAGATTCTTTTTATTTGCTTTTTAACCTTTATTGTGGGGAGGAATTAGGAGAAATTCTTCGGTTGACTCAGTGTTTTAAATAGTTGGTGGATGAAACCAACCAGGGACGGGGCATTCGAGTGTATTTATTAGCAGACATTTCAGTGGAACCTACTTTTGACATTCTTAAGTGCCTATGCATGATAAGTTTGTGTTTAGTCTACTAAATTCTTGGAAGCCAGATTTATTTAATTTGCTAGAGAAATCAACAAAGAAGGTAGCTATTTTCCTCCCCCAAAAAAGTCCTGACTTGGACATTTTCTTTACTTTTGGAAATGAAAAACCATTTTAATTATTTTTCTTCTTATTTATCCTCTTATGCATGTACATGTTCCATGTGTTTTGTTATTTTAATGCTCATTATTATTTATTATCCATGTTAGGCAGACCTGGTTTTAGAAAAAAGTTGGTAGATGAACCCAACCATAGATTGACGTATAGAGTATATTTATTTGCAGACTTTTCAGTGGGACCTACTTTTGAAATGTTTAGGTATCTATGCACGATAAGTTTTGTTTTGGTCTTTTAGACTTTTGTAAGCCGGATTCATTGAAAATTTTGAAGAGAAACTAAGACCACTTTTGACTTTGCTACCTCTAACCACCCTTATTAAAATTGTAGTTTTATCCAGAACAAAACCATCATATGACAAGATAGTATTGAACTAAAATAGAATATTATGCATTTTCTGGTAGTCCAATTTCGTCAATGACTCACACTAATATGATCAAAAAATATTTCTATTTCAGTGCAATTTCTGATGCATGTATGGCTATGGGAGAATGGGTAGAGAATCCTCATGCAGAATCTGCCCTTAGTGACATCCTTCCTTGTGTTGATCAGAGAACCACAAACAAGACACTGGTTCAGAGTAAACAAGTGGTCACCAATATTGTAAGTGTTGTGAATCGGTTCATCTACAGCATTGCCGATGCAAATACGTCGCCAAATGATCCAAGCTATTACAATCAGTCTGGACCTGCAATGCCGCCTTTGTGTTACCCTTTTGATTCTCAGCTCAAAGAGCGGGAATGTACGTCTCAAGAAGTTTCCTCCTCCAATGCCTCATTGGTAAGTTCTAACAATTTCATCACTTTACTTTATTTCTTCTTCCTATGATCATATTGAAAGCAAAACTGGAAGTCTTGACATTTAACTTGGATCGAATTTTTCAGGTTTGGAAGAACTACGAGTGCCAGGTAACAGAATATGGTTTTTGCAGCAGCATCGGTAGGGTGACGCCGGAGATTTACTCGGAGTTGGTGGGTGCAGTTAACGAGAGCTATGCATTAGAACATTATACACCACTTTTACTCAACCTTCAAAATTGCAATTTTGTGAGGGAAACATTCGAAGAAATCACTTCAAGCTACTGCCCTCCATTGAACCATTATCTCAAGGTTATCAATGCAGGGCTTGGTCTCATTTCGGTTGGTGTCTTGCTCTGTCTTGTTCTCTGGATACTCTATGCAAACCGCCCCCAAAGGGAGGAGGAGTTTGCCAAACCATCCTTTGCACAAAAACTAAAGAACAGATTTAGTAAGAACCGCAACAATACAAATTCATCATTGCCAAATGCAGCAGGGGAGGTATAGATCGCCCAACATAAAATTAGAAGGAAAAAGAAAGTAGGTCATTAGCGTTATATTGTACCCCATATTAGGGTATGAAACCAAGGTGAAGCGAAGCTACACCATTTGAGTTTCAAGAGAAGAGTACTTACGATATATATATATATATATATATATATGTAGGTTGTATTCATATAGAGAAAAAGAAGAAGAAGCAATATTTGTTGTGTCAAAGAAAAGTTTCATGTGTATATTCAGTCTACTATCTTCTAATAATGGTAAATGATGGTGAAATTATTCCAATATTTTCCATTAAATGCTTCAATCACATGAAGATTAAAATTTATCACAGTGTTTACTATACGTTTATGTGATTACGTGGTTAGACAATTTATAATGATCCATGCTTAAAAAAAAAAAGAAGAAAAACTTTTTAAGAAGTTACTGGTCGTGTTTAAAATGATATTTTTTTTTTTGTTTGCAGCAATTTAAGAAAGTTATCACTGAAGAAAAATCAGAGAGCGAAAAGTGGGATGATGATCAATTTGGATATGAACAATATGTAAAGGATATATTTTCTAAGCAATATAAACTCTCCTTTCAATGTCACATAAAACTGAGTTTTGATGAACGATCACCTCAAATATTAACCATATATGGAGTATCTTTATATATAAGTACAGCTTGAAGTTTGAAGAATAGTCTGATAACATTGTAAACGATGCAAGTTTGAAATACCACACTTAGACTCCTCATTTGGGAAATCAGTGCTTCGTAGGTCTGCGTCATTGCCGCGTCAGTACAGTATTCACCAGAATCGAACACAATTTCCTCCACATGCTTTGCCTATCACATCAGAGGAAGCTTCTTCAACTTTTAATGCGCCACAAGAGCATCACTTACGCCATGAACAACAAGCTTATCGCTGTGAAATATATTCGGAAAGACAACTGAGACTCCGTTCAGCGCCAAAACACCACCAGACCTCGCGACGTTAATAGAAAAACCCTCCAACATAGTGGGTAAGTTCGACCCGCTGTTCAAGTCCGCCAGATCATTCCAGAGAAGCTTACATGGTACAACATGACGAAGAAAGAACGATGGATACTCGCTGAAATTCGCAAGAAGATTCTTCGCCATTTCATCTTCAGGAGCAAAGACGGTCATTGCAGCCTCGTTGCTGATTCCATTCATTTGCAAACCAAGAAACGACGCCGTCACATAGTACCCTGTGGATCGAAGTGTTTCGATGGCTTGACTGAACGAATCGGAGGAACTCATAGTCTGTCTCTGCAACCCACAAATTGGATTAGGGCTAGGTTCCTGAGATGCTGGAGTATACCGAAAATCGGGATCAAAGAAACTGTCGATTCCGTAGATCAGGAAAAGCCCATCCTCATAAATAGGCGACGAACCAATGACTCGGACGTAGTTAAGCGAAATCTCGAAATCGGAATGTGACTCAGTGACGATGAGAGTGTGGTTATTCAGCAGGGTCGGGATCTCGGAGCCAGCGGGGAGCAATCGGAGGTTCTGAGGCGGCAACGGCAGAGGGGATAAGTGGAAACGGAGGAGATCAAGAGAAGGTTGACCCGATTTTGTAAAAGAAGAATCCGATGGAGCGAAGATGGTGAGAGAAGGAGTTTGCGAAAGAAGAGTTTGATAAAGGGCTTGGAGAGTGAGAGACATGGAGGTGTAGCCTGAATCGGAGAGAATGTCGGCAGCGTCGAGGACGGTTTCACGGGAGAGAGAAGAGGAAAAGGAGAAAAGGGAGGAAGTGTGTAGAAGAAGAAGAAGAAGAAAAGAGGCAGCCATTGAGAGAGGTTCTGGTTTCTGTTGGGACCTTGGCGGGAAAGCAGAGAGAGAGAGCGAGACCGTTGAAGGGATCGTTAGACTATTCCTATCCCATGACAGAAATGCCCCCTGCGCGCCTTATTAATTACTACTATTAAGCTAACTCCATTTTTCCCAAAAAGATCAACAAGGGAAACGGTGATTTAATTAAAAAGAAAATGAACTCCTCAGACTTTGAGACATTTCAATATATTTTCTTTAATTTCAAAATTTATAATATAATTTTAATAATTATATTAGACACTTATAGTAGTATTATCCGTTAAAGATTTCTAAATATAATTAAAAAAAATCTAATCACTTATCTCATCTTTAGATATCTAAAGATGCAGCCTTTCCTTCTTCTTTTTCGGCCACATATGCATAATTACTGTTTTAGTTTGTTTATTTTTCAAAATTAGAACTTATATCAAGAAAACAAGAAAGTATGACATATGAGTGAAGTCATGTATTTATTGAAGTAACTACCATTGATTAGGGAAAAAATTAAAGACAAGCCTCTTTTGAGTCTATTTGCATTTGACCATAGTAGATTAGCATAAAGATATGTAAGCATCTTTTTCAGCAGAGTTTTAAATATTAATTTTGTTGTGAGTGATTAATCCGTTTCACTAGACTTGATTTTTATTGGTATACATTTATGAGATAATAAGCATCTATACGTCTTTTAAATGTGTAATTATCAATATTACAAACGTTTATTTAAGTTTTCCAAAATACATTAAACCTCACATCTATAGGCGCCTCTTGAACAGGAATAAATCAAAAGGATTTTCCCAAGTTCAGTTGAAATTACGCTCAACAGCATCAGATAATATTGGTAATTATTAATCTTATCTTTGACAAGCATATAAAACTGTGCAAGAAATAATTACTCCTTGGAAAACAGATAATCAAGAGATAATTTTTATTTTAGATTTTGTTTTGTTTAAATATTAATAAACTAAAATTCAACGGCACATCAGATTTTACTTGTGGGCAAAAATGGAGACCTTACGTGCAATTGGGTTGGTAATTTAATCTCATCAAATATCCTACTAGAAGTTGTGACAAGTGATGAGGGATTGAGTTTTAATTCGAATCAAAATTAAGCTGCGCCGGGAAAATGCAAAATTGGCAGCAAAGAAACAGAAATTAAATATGAGAAAAATCAAAGTAAACTAGGGAGGATGCGCTCTTACTTTTTCATAAATCATCAAAGGCACAGCAAAATCAAAAAAGAAAAATTAAAAAAAACTCCCAAACCATATTAGGCAATAACTACTGAAAACCAAAATATAAAACACACACACAAACACACAAATTTAAAAAGGACCTAGAAATAAGGGCATGAAATTCTTCTCAGCCAAATTTCTCCGCTTTCTCCTTTTGTTGCTTAATTCTGTCAGCAGTTTCCATCACATCCAACACCACATTGACCACGGCCACCACAGCTCCGATCCCCGCCGCCACGCCAGCAACCAAACCCAACAACCAACCCATTATTCCTGTTGCTTGTAATGAAGAAATTAAAACTTGAAGACCTCGGGAAATAGGATCCTAATTGAAGTTGAAATGAAATAGCAATGCACAAGTGTTTGTTTGTGTGTACAACTATATATAGAGGCAGTCCGTTGTTGTCATCCGCTTTCTCATCAAACTTTTGGCATTCCATATTCATAGTAATTGATTAATATATATATATTTTATATAACTTAGAGTATCCCCAAACTACTTTGGGTTTGAGACTAATTCCTATAGAAGCTAGCAGCATTAAAATTAAAATCCTTCTAACAAATGTGCTTCTTGAGATTCGAACTTGTATTTTTCTTTAAGGGGTGAAACCGTTTACCATTTCAATCAACAGCTTGTTGGTAATTGATTAATATTATTAATTAGCCATTATTGAATTTAGTGTTCCTCTTTGGTAGATGTAATCCCTGGATACTATGCTTAATGATAGCAGTGTAGTTCTATGTTCAGAGTATGATCTGTATTCGATTACTTCATTAATTCACAGTCGCATCATTATTTGTTTCCAGCCTCTTGATAATTAATGAGACAGCCACCGTTGAGTTTTATGCTCTTTTTTGGTACTACTTTTTATTAGTTACCAATAGCCAAACTAAATTATGTAGATAATAAAAGTCGTTAAAATTGGTTATATGGCATACACACACACACACAAACACTCACACACAAATGTATTTTTTCCCCTCTAAACATATCCTTCCTTGCAGAGAGGGTGAGTGTGAGACAGAATGAGTAAGAGAAAATTGAGAGAAATTAAACATGTAATTAATTGAGAATAAAAATGGAAAAGTGCATTTAAATTTTAGAATATTTTATATTAGATCTGCTCAAATGATCACCACTTAAAAAAAAGACCGGAGGAAGGGGGGGAAAAAAAGATAAAGTGGCGTTCAACACCCTAATTTTTAGAAGTATAATTTTACATATGATTTTTTTTTTGAAAAAAAAAAATTTGGTGCAATCTCACCCTTCCTTTGTTTATTTAAAATCACATTAAAATGGTTCATGAAATTGCGCCAAATTTAATATATTATGGGTAAAACAATCTCTATTTTAATACATAGCAAAACACGAGAGCACATCCAAAGCTTCCATATGGCCACTCCCCATATAATATATATCCCATTCCACAGCCACCAGTCCATTTCCAAGTTCCTTTTCAGATTCATAGTACCCTAATCAGTAATAGATCCATCATTTTGGTACCAAAACGATCACAAAGATTAGAGCATTGTGATCAATTACTCTAGCATAATGGCAATCTCTGAATTTAATGTTATCCTCTTCGATTGTTTATCTGTTCTATGTTCAAAGTACTAAATGAATGTTTCTGGTTCTATGCTTTAACAGTTCTCTTTGGATAACTACTATATGACATTATTATCATTAAACATGCATGCTACTACGTTGCATAATTACAGGCGAATGAATAAGTTCAGCATTAATCTTTGTTTCTTCGAATTCTGTTGGATTTCATTTTCAATTCCAGTTTGGTTTTAGAGCTATAGTTCTATGTTCAGAGATCTTTTTTATTTGCCGGAAGTTCAGTGTTCAGCATACAATTAATTTCTGTGGTTCAAATCATCGATGCATTGAAATTAAAACCAATATCTAGTTCACGTTAATCATTAATCTCAAGAATTCTTCAGCTTGCAACTAACATACTCCCTCCATTTGAAATTTTCCGAAGTATCATGTTAAAATATACATACATATATAGATATATATATATATATAAAAGCATTTTTAGTCTTCTAAAGTGTAAGTAATTTTTGGCTAAAAAAGTGTAATTGGCAATTTTTTTAAAAAAAATAATGCTTTGGTGTAATTAATAGACTAATTCTTCGTTTCTCTGAATTCTATTGGTTTTCGTGTTCCGCTTGGATTCATGAATGAGAGTTGTATGCTCTGAATGAGACTTTATGGATATGGTTACGATTATAGAGATACCTGCAATGCAGGTATTGATTAGTTGTCAATGCAGGGCTTGGTCTCATTTCGGTTGGTGTCTTGCTCTGTCTTGTTCTCTGGATACTCTATGCAAACCGCCCCCAAAGGGAGGAGGAGTTTGCGAAACCATCCTTTGCACAAAAGCTAAAGAACAGATTTAGTAAGAACCGCAACAATACAAATTCATCATTGCCAAATGCAGCAGGGGAGGTATAGATTGTCTAACATAAAATTAGAAGGAAAAAGAAAGTAGGTCATTAGCGTTATATTGTACCCCATATTAGGGTATGAAACCATGGTGAAGCGAAGCTACGCCATTTGAGTTTCAAGAGAAGAGTACTTACGATATATATATATATATATATATAGGTTGTATTCATATAGAGAAAAAGAAGAAGAAGCAATATTTGTTGTGTCAAAGAAAAGTTTCATGTGTATATTCTGTCTACTATCTTCTAATAATGATAAATGATAGTGGAATTATTCCAATATTTTCCATTAAATGCTTCAATCACATGAAGATTAAAATTTATTACAATGCTTGCTATGCGTTTATGTGATTACCTGGTTGGACAATTACAATGATCATGCTAATTTTTTTTTAAAAAAACTTTTAAGAAGTTACTGGTCGTGTTTACAATGATATTTTTTTGTTTTGCAGCAATTTAAGAAAGTTTTCACTGAAGAAAAATCAGAAAGCGAAAAGTGGGATGATGATCAACTAGGATATGAACAAATTGTAAAGGATATATTTTCTCTAAGCAATATAAACTCTCCTTTCAATGTCACATAAAACTGAGTTTTGATGAACGATCACCTCAAATATTAACCATATATGGAGTACCTTTATATCTAAGTACAGCTTGAAGTTTGAGGAATAGTGTGATCACATTGTAAACAAAGCAAGTTTTGAAATACCACACTTGGACTCCTCATTTGGGAAATCAGTGCTTCGTAGGTCTCTGTCGCGTCAGTACAGTATCCACCAGAATCGAACGCAATTTCCTCCACATGCTTTGCCTATCACATCAGAGGAAGCTTCTTCAACTTTTAATGCGCCACAAGAGCATCACTTACGCCATGAACAACAAGCTTATCGCTGTGAAATATATTCGGAAAGACAACTGAGACTCCTTTCAGCGTCAGAACACCACCAGACCTCGTGACGTTAATAGAAAAACCCTCCAACATAGTGGGTAAGTTCGACCCGTTGTTCAAGTCAGCCAGATCATTCCAGAGAAGCTTACATGGTACAACATGGCGACGAAAGAACGATGGATACTCGCTGAAATTCGCAAGAAGATTCTTCGCCATTTCATCTTCAGGAGCAAAAAGGGTCATTGCAGCCTCGTTGCTGATTCCATTCATTTGCAAACCAAGAAACGACGCCGTCACATAGTACCCTGTGGATCGAAGTGTTTCGATGGCTTGACTGAACGAATCGGAGGAACTCATAGTCTGTCTCCGCAACCCACAAATTGGATTAGGGCTAGGTCCCTGAGATGCTGGAGTATACTGAAAATCGGGATGGAAGAAACTGTCGATTCCGTAGATCAGGAAAAGCCCATCCTCATAAAGTGGAAACGGAGGAGATCAAGAGAAGGTTGACCCGATTTTGTAAAAGAAGAATCCGACGGAGCGAAGATGGTGAGAGAAGGAGTTTGCGAAAGAAGAGTTTGATAAAGAGCTTGGAGAGTGAGAGACATGGAGGTGTAGCCTGAATCGGAGAGAATGCCGGCAGCGTCGAGGACGGTTTCAGGGGAGAGAGAAGAGGAAAAGGAGAAAAGGGAGGAAGTGTGTAGAAGAAGAAGAAGAAGAAGAAGAAAAGAGGCAGCCATTGAGAGTGGTTCTGGTTTCTGTTGGGACCTTGGCGGGAAAGCAAAGAGAGAGACCGAGACCGTTTAAGGGATCGTTAGACTATTCCTATCCCAAGACGGAAATGCCCCCTGCGCGCCTTATTAATTACTACTATTATGCTAACTCCATTTTTTCCAAAAAGATCAACAAGGGAAACGGTGATTTAATTAAAAAAAAAAGAACTCCTCAGACTTTGAGACATTTCAATATATTTTCTTTAATTTCAAATTTTAAAATATAATTTTAATAATTATATTAGACACTTATAATAGTATTGCCCGTTAAAGGTTTCTAAATATAATTAAAAAAATATAATCACTTATCTCATCTTTAGATATCTAAAGATGCAATCTTTCCTTCTTTTTTTGGGCCACAAAGATGCACTCTTTCTTATATATGCATAATTACTCTTTTAGTTTGTTTATTTTTCAAAATTAGAACTTATATTAAGAAAACAAAAAAGTATGACATATGAGTGAAGTCATGTATTTATTGAAGTAACTACCATTGATTAGGGAAAAAAAATTAAAGCCAAGCCTTCTTTGAGTCTATTTGCATTTGATCATAGTATATTAACGTAAAGTCATGTAAACATCTTTCTTAGTAGAGATTTAAATATTAATTTTGTTGTGAGGGATTAATCCATTTTGCTAGACTTGATTTTTACTGGTATATAGTTTTGAGATAATAAGCATCTATATGTCTAATTATTAATATTAATAGTACAAACGTTTATTTAAGTTTTCCAAAATATATTAAACCTCACATCAATAGGCGCCTCTTGAACAGGAATAAGTCAGAAGGATATTCCTAGGTTCAGTTGAAATTATTCTCAACAGCATCAGATTATATTGGTAATTATTAATCTTTAATTTGACAAGAATATAAAACTGTGCAAGAAATAATTACTCCTTGGAAAACAGATAATCAAGAGATAATTTTTATTTTAGATTTTGTTTTACTTAAATACTAATAAACTAAAATTCAATGACACATCAGATTTTACTTGTGGGCAAAAATGGAGACCTTACGTGCAATTGGGTTGGTAATTTAACCTCATCAAATATCCTACTAGAAATTGTGACAAGTGATGAGGGATTGAGTTTTAATTTGAATCAAAATTAAGCTGCGCCGAGAAAATGCAAAATTGGGAGCAAAGAAACAGAAATTGAATATGAGAAAAATCAAAGTAAACTAGAGAGGCCTGATACACTCTTAATTTTTCATTCATCATCAAAGGCACAACAAAATCAAAAAAGAAAAAAAGACAACTCCCAAAACACGTCAGGCAATAACTACTGAAAAAAAAATATAAAACATTCACACACATACAGATTTAAAAAGGAACCAGAAATAATGGCATGAAATTCTTCTCAGCCAAATTTCTCCGCTTTCTCTTTTTGTGCTTAATTCTGTCAACAGTTTCCATCGCATCCAACACCACATTTACCACGGCCACCACAGCTCCGATCACCGCCGCCACAGTTGTCGCCACAGCAACCACCAACAACCAACCCATTATTCCTGTTGCTTGTAATGAAGAAATTAAAACTTGAAGACCTCAGGAAATAGGATCCTAATTGAAGTTGAAATGAAATAGCAATGCACAAGTGTGTTTGCGCGTACAACTATATATAGAGGCAGTCCGCTGTTGTCATCCGCTTTCTCATCAGACTTTTGGCATTCCATATCCATAGTAATTGATTAATATTTTTTTTTTAGGATGTAAATCAGAGTATTCCCAAACCACTTGGAACTTGAGACTAATCTTTGTTAAGCCGGAAGTATTAAAGTTATTGGTATACAAATGCACTTTTGTGTTCTTCGGGGATGAGACTGCTTACCATCTTAACTAATAGATTGTTGGTAATTAATTAATATTATTAATAATTAGCCATTACTGAACTTAGTGTTCCTCTTTGGTAGATGTTATCCGTGGATACAATGTTTAATGATAGCAGTGTGGTTCTATGTTCAGAGTATGATCTGTATTCGATCACTTCATTAATTCACAGTCTCATCATTATTTGTTTCCAGCCTCTTGATAATTAATGAGACAGCCACCGTTAAGTTTTATGCTCTTTTTTGGTACTATTTTTTATAAGTTACCAATAACCAAATTATATAGATAATAGAAGTCGTTAAAATTGGTTAAATGTCATATCTACACACACAAACACCCACACATAAATGTATTTTTTTCCCCTAAATATATCCTTCTTTGCAGAGAGGGTGAGTGTGAGACAGAATGAGTAAGAGAAAATTGAGAGAAATTAAACATGTAATTTAAATTTTAGAATAATTTAGATTAGATCTATTCAAATTATTATCACTTTAAAAAAAAAAAAGACCGGGGGAAGTACTGTACATTAATTAAAGCTATTTTGATGTTTAAGGAAAAAGAAAAGTAAAGTAGCATTCAACATCCTAATTTTTTAGAAGTACAATTTTACATATGACGTTTTAAAATAAAAAAAAATTGGTGCAATCTCACCCTTCCTTTCTTTATTTAAAATCACATTAAAATGGATGATGAAATTGCGCCAAATTTAATATATCATGGGTAAAACAATCTCTATTTTAATATACAGCAAACCACGAGAGCACATCCAAAGCTTCCATATGGCCACTCCCCATATAATATACTACTTCCGATCCTTAATATAAGACCTTATTTGACTTTTATTTTGGTTCTAAATATAAAACCCCAATCTACTTTGTCTCTCATATTTATACATTTTTTTTTTCAAAGTAGTCCTTTTAATAATGGTAGTTCTAGCCAATACATTTAATCAGTAAGGATATTTTAGGAAAGACAACACCTATTTAGGACAAATAGCTAACTCAACTTATTTTTTTAATCTTTTCAAATTAGTCAACTAGCTCTTATAATTAGAATCAAAGTAGTATATCCCATTCCACATCCACCAGTCCATTTCCAAGGTTCCTTTTCAGATTCATAGTACCCTAATCCGTAATAGATCCATCATTTTGGCACCAAACCAATCACAAAGATTAGAGCATTGTGACCAATTACTCTAGCATAATGGCAATCTCTGAATTTAATGTTATCCTCTTCGATTGTTTATCTGTTCTATGTTCAAAGTACTAAATGAATGTTTCTGGTTCTGCGCTTTAACAGTTCTCTTTGGATAACTACTATATGACATTATTAAACATGCATGCTACTACGTTACATAATTACAGGCGAATGAATAAGTTCAGCATTAATCTTTGTTTCTTAGAATATTGTTGGATTTCATTTTCCAGTTTGGTTTTATAGCTATAGTTCTATGTTCAGAGATCTTTTTTATTTGCCGGAAGTTCAGTGTTCAGAGTGCAACTAATTTCTGTGGTTCAAATCATTGATGCATTGAAATTAAAACCAATATATAGTTCACGTTAATCATTAATCTCAAGAATTCTTCAGCCTGCAACTAACACACTCCCTCCATTTGAAATTTTCCGAAGTATCATGTTAAAATATACATATATATATATAAACATTTTTTGTCTTCTAAACTGTAAGTAATTTTTGGGCAAAAAAGTGTAATTGATAATTTTTTTTAAAAAACAAGAATGCTTTGGTGTAATTAATAGATTAATTCTTCGTTTCTCTGAATTCTATTGGTTTTCGTGTTCCGCTTGGATTCATGAATGAGAGTTGTATGCTGTGACAACCGCTCTTTTAAAACCATTTTAGATTAAATACAACAATTTATTTGAACGATTAACCATGATAGAAAAGAAGAAACCTTAAAATTTTAAAATCGCTATCATGGTTAAAAGGAATAAACTTATAATAAGAGTAACATTGATCGTTACCTTGGGCCTTGGACTTCCAAAGTCCAGAAATATCATCCAACCATTAGCCCAAACCAAACTGATATTTTCAAACATACGAACTGATAAATCAGTTTAATATAAACTATAGAGCTCATTAATCAAAAGTCAACACTTTCAAAGGAGCGTTACACGTAGAGTCTAAAACGTCTCGGGCCTCCTCACTGCCCTATCATACCAGATAGTAGTAATTAAGAGTATTATTTTACAACATGATAGTAGATGAGCCCTATGTGGCAATATATAACAAGTCAGCACATAGAACAAAAGCAGGGAGGCTATACAAGCTAATCAGCACACTATGCCTCCGGAGCCTTCCCTGATGGGCCACCACCTGAACTATCGCCTGAAAATGTTAAACCACGGGGTGAGACAAACGCCTCAGTAACCAACTCTCCAACTCATCATACATACTAACACGTGCTCGTGAGGTGTCAAGTGGGACAGTTATTAATTCTCGAGAACTATAGATATAAAATTTCAATCATCCAAACCCTCACTATGGGGGCCAACACACAAGCCACATAAGTCTATCCCTCACTCTGGGGGATTAATCAAACATATGGGCCTATCCCTCACTTTGGGGGACGAATAAGAAGCCACAAGGCCTATCCCTCACTATGGGGGACGAAAGAAGAAGCCAACCAATGTGCACCAATGGCGGCCTTACCACGTGGTAGGATAGGACTCAATCCCAAAATCCAAATAACAACCAATCATTCACAATATAATAAAAATGTCTCAATCTTTTCTCAGTATAATCAATAAGATATCATATATCTTTTCCAAACTTCTCAATCAGCATTCCAAAAATCCCACAAGACAATTTTCATAGCTCAAAAGATATAACATATCTATTCAAGTTCCAAATATCAAATATTATTCTAAAAATAGCAAAATACTCACAAACAACATATTAGCACATATAACAAGTGGAAAGTGGTTACCTCTCGCCAAGGTAATACTAAGGATTACCACAAGGTCAATCCTTTGCTCAACCAATAATTAATCTACACAATTAATATAACCACATATTAATATAAACTAATTAATTAATTAATTAAACTTCTCTATATTATTTACATTTTTACTCTAAATTCCCGCAACTCTCATAACCTAAAAATTATTAAGTATTTTA